GGGGTGAGCCTTCTCAGTCTTCATCATGTCACCAAGGACGTGCAAAGTGACTCACTGAACTGTACTCTTAAAGTGGGTGGATTTTATTGCGGATAAGTTGTTTTAAATGCCTTTATTCAGAAACATAAGAAAAAGTTTTCAGTCTGGATGTATTTTTAAAGCTAACTACAGACTACTTACAACATACTCAAGTTTAAGGATATAGAAAGGTAGAAGATGGAAGGATAGAAAAAGACATGTCATGAAAATCCTAACCAGGAGAAAGGTCGCATTGCTACATTAGTACCAGAAAAAATCAGAATCTGAAACAAAAAGAATGGTGAGACATAAAGAAGAATACTTTACAAAAAAGCTCACCGTGCAAATCCTGAAAACTGTTTCACTATGAAATCTGTTTAGAAACAGTTAAAAATTTGTATCCAGCTAACAACAAAGTCTCAAAAATGCATTTAAAAATCTGGCCGAGCTGAGCGTGCTAGTGCGCGCCCGTAATCCCAGCTATATAGGAGGCCGACAAGGAAGGATTGAGTTTAGGAGTTCAAGACCAGCCTGAGAAACAAAGGGAGACCCCATCTCTACAAAAAAATTTTTTTTTTTAATCTGACAGACTACAAGAGCAATGAAGAGGAATCAGTGCTGTCAGATATTCAGATATACACAAAACCTCAATAACATAGACAGCATGGTGTTGGCACACACGTGGAGCAACAGTGGACCTGCGTGGAAAGCCAGAAGCGAGCCTGCAGGCGTCATGGAATTGAGTTCCTGCTACAGATGGTGAAGGTCATCTTCTAAATAAATGCTGCTGGGAGCTAGGCGCGGTGGCTCACGCTGTAATCCCAGCACTTTGGGAGGCCAAGGAGGGCAGATCACCTGAGATTGGGTGTTAGAGACCAGCCTGACCAACATGGAGGAACCCCATCTCTACTAAAAATACAAAATTAGCCAGGCATGGTGGCGCATGCCTGTAATTCCAGTTACTTGGGAGGCAGAAGAATCACTTGAACCCGGGAGGTGGAGGTGGTGGTGAGCAGAGACTGCACCACTGCACTCCAGCCTGGGCAACAATAGCGAAACTCCATCTCAAGAAAACAAAATGCTTCTGGGAAAAGGTAGAAAGGGATTCATACCGCATACCATGCACCGCGATAAACTCCACATGAAATTCATACCGCATACCATGCACCGCTA